TTAATACATTCTCCTATATATTGTATTTTGATTATATTTTTCAAACAGTGAGTACCTTTTGCAGTATAAAGCTGAATGTATGATGGTCTATAAAAGGAGTTTTGTAGAAATAACTGAAAATGACTTGATGCACTGCTTTCATTTAAAGATCCAAGTTTCCAACAATGGAAATGTTCTTTTTCACTGCTAAACTGCTGCTCATTCACTGTCAGAAAGCAGTATAACCGAAATTTCGTTTTGTAAACAGTCTGTGTATACAAAATGACAATAAAGTTTGTTTAACTCCAAGTCAACTAGGCTCCTGGGATAGTTAGCCACTCACAAGATGGTGGACGCCCGACGTATGTTAATATTTACTCTTGCTCTTCTATACGATGTTTTAAGGCCTCTTTTTAAAGGCACGGTGCATTCTAGTCCGGCTGCACGCTTGATTATCTGCGTACAAATATTTTTCATAGATGTTCAAAATATTTTATTAAACACTTGGTAATGTGAGTAAAAATAATATATATATAAAAAAAAACACTTACATTTTCTTTAATCAGATATAGCAAAGTGCCCTTTTTATAAGCCAGATAAATAAAGAGGCTTTCAACATAAAACCCAACAATAAATAATTTTGAAGGAAAGACTAACTTTAACTTTAAAATCGGGCAATAATAATAATAATTAAAAAAATAATAATAACAGGCTAATTTGGTAGAACGATGTCTTCCACTGTTAAAGGTCTGCGCTCATTTCCTGACAGTGACTGGATCTTTAAGAAGAGTGACAAAATAAGACAGGAGTCATCCTTATAATCCAAATATTTTAATTTACGGAACAAAGATTTTATGTTCACGTTTTAGTTTTATTGTTTTGGAGATTCTCTTACCAAATGTGGACTCCTATGCTATGCATTAGAGTTTCACATTAGGTGCCAATGAAATACCCTACGTTTTAATCTGTTGTTGCAAGTTGACAAAATATTAAAAGTTCATGGGACATGAGTACAATTGTATGGAAGCCTGTTTCCGCCACATGGAAGTAAAAAAAAAATAAAAAATGTAAAATAGAAATTGATAATTATGAGATTCAAATGGATAATTTCAACTTTCTAAGGCATAATTATGAGATATACAATGTACAAACTTTGTATCTCCTAATTATGACTTTATAGCTCATAGTTATGACTTTGTAACTTATAATTATGACTTTGTTACTCATAATTATGACTTTGAATCTCATAATTATGACTTTATAACTCATAGTTATGACTTTGTAACTTATAATTATAACTTTGTATTTGGCATTTTTTTTATTTTCATTTGGTGGGGAAAGGCTTCCATACATTTGCAAAGTACTAAGTGACAAAAAATGATATCCGCATTGAAAGTTCTTTAAAATGTTATTTAAGATGTAGCTACTGAATACCGACATGGGGGCATTTTATGGTAAAACAAAAAAGTTTATTACCGCATCATACACTATTGTCTCATGAATGAAGTGTATTTGAATGCACCATGAGACCGTAAAACACAGAATAGAACAGCAATGACCTCGGAAGGGCAGAAAAGGTGAGACTGCAACGCAAAAACCCACACACTCTTCTTGAAGAATCTTTAACCCCACCAAAATTAGAGGGGGACACATTGATAGCCTTCATTTCTTTTTAAAAATTAAACATTTATGTAGCAAAGATTAATGAATAACGCAAAAAAGGCTGCGTTATTGCAAACGGAAGTTTTATTTTGAAGGGCTACAAGGGAACGCCGCGCATTCTCGCTCGCTTGCTTCCCATTCGGAGCACATTGTGTGGCGGAGTTTGTTGCTGCTGCTGCTGTTTCCACCCGGCGGTGCTTCTCCGCTCACTTCAGATAACGCTCCTGTGGAGGATTGCGGCGCATAATTCCCCTCATCGTGGCTGTTGTCAGTATTTGGTTGTTTTTGGACGAGGACGGTAAGAAAAAGACACAAGTGAACCCGCTTGAAAGTTATAGTGAAGTTTTGTCATTTCTTCGCAGTTAAACGTGCAATGTTAAGCTAGCTAATGTAGCTTCCATATAGGCTAAGCGGTTTCAGCAGCGAATTGTGTCCTTGGCGCTTCTTTTTCATATAAATGACAGGCCCGTGCTATTTTTATTTTTTTTATTTTGATTAGCTAGATTTAATAATTTAATGTAAGTGGGAAGTCAAATTTGATATTTTGAGCTTTTTTTTTTTTAAGAAAAGATAAATTACGTGGATTTCATCCAGTGACAAAGGCTGTCTGAGTAATTCCATTAAAGAAGGTATTATTTAGTAGAAATAAATTTGGGATTTTTTAAAACATAGCTTTTATTTTGACAGCTACACCGGAAGTCTTCTAATAGTTCTTCTGACCTGACATTATGTAAACTCCCAAGTCCGAAAAAAGGTATAAAATTAACATTTATAAATACTATTTTACTGATCAAATTGTAAATATACAATTATACTTTTTTTTTAAATGATTGAAATGCTTCAAAGTTTTTCCCAAATTAAATTATTGTACAAATCATTACTCAAAACCAAAGTTCATTAAAATACATAATTTTACCACCTCATTTATATTTAGGAGGAAAAATCCACAATATGATAAATTAATAATATAAATTATAGCTAAATAATAATAGCCAAATTAAATTTAGAAATGCAATGGCGTCGATAAATACAAAAAATATATTTCCATATTTTCATTGTTTAATATAAGTTATGAAATATCATTTAATTATATCTTAAATGATCAAAAATAACACATCATTTTTTTTATACAAATTTGTTTGTTAATTTATTTTAGAATAAATAATTGAATGTGAAAATGTCATATTGATTAAAATATTTAGTTTAGAACTGAATTGTTTAAAATCACTATCACTGTTCTGATTGGTGTAAGTTTATAGCAGTGTTAGTTCCTCCTACTTACTTTCCAGAGCAAATTATTTATATAAATGCTTCACTGATTAAGGATGATTTCATCTCTTTAACAAATGCATACCTTAAATAATTATAGATATATTTAGTTTTCCTGCTTCAATAGCAACATGTTTAATACATGTTTGCACATCATGATAATTTATTACTGTATCATTTAATTATATATGGAACGGAATGTATTTGTGGCACTATGGTTTTGAAATGAATATGATATAATGTGTGGGAGTGTAGCACAGTCATTTCTTTTACTTACAATTATATTAAAAATGATCCATGGATACAACATTGATTATGTATTATTGTTTATATTTTTTTGTATCTATGTCTTGCATGGCTGTACTGAAGGTTACATGAAAATGTCTCTGTCCCATTCCGCAGGTCATTCGTCCAGCTTTGACTGTAAACATTAATGTGCCTTTGGGTCTGAGAGCCGTCAGATCCAATGGCCGCCTCCAGTGCCTCAGCCACTGCCACCGTGCCTACAGGGTTTCATTATGAAACCAAATACGTTCTGCTAAACTACCTGAGAATGCTGCCTGCCAAAAGATCCCGCACTCCGACCACAGAACAAGGTGAGAGGAGCGGCTCGGTGGGTAGGCCTTATGAGTGCAGGGCTGCATGCAGATGCACACATAGCTGAAGCTCAAATTGTTCTGAGTGGTTGGGCGTGTAGCCACCTGTTTACCAGCCCCAATTTAGCCTCTTTGACATGAGTCAGTTGTGAATCCACTTTTAATTTAGGAAAATATGTCATCTGATACCTCACACTTGAAACTAATCTATATTTCAGTTTAGTATTCAGACTGAAATCATTTTCCTCTTTGTTTATTAAGGCCTTCAGGCTTCCTGCCTTCCTGTCCACTCAGAAATCTGCAATACAGACGTCTAAGTTTCATTTCCTGCAGAAAATATATAACTGATGTGAAGACTTTGGTGCCTCCCTGCCAAGCGAAAGAAAAACAGTCCTTTTGAAATTGTTTTTTTTTATTTCCAGTAGCCTAATAATGAGTATAAAGGCAGTTTGGGGTTGAATGTCTTCCTGTTTGCAGGTTTGAAAGGGGCTAAACGACTGACTGCTCCCTGCTTTCCGCTCGACCCGATCCAATTTCTGACAGCCTGTCATGTGCAATCATTGTAGGATTACTCTCACATCAATAGACAGAAGCAAATAGTGGCCCGACTGGCTGTATGCTGAGACAGCAGCGCCAAGCCCAGAACAAACCAGCCCTGATCCTCAGGGCGTCGGGCCACAAGCCGGAGGGAGCCAGGACAAAAAGGGGAATGAAGTGGGCTGGATCGGAAAGACCGAATAAAAAAAAAAGAGATAGATGGACTAATTTTCAGTGAGTTTCAAGTGAATCGGCTGCTTCTGTTTGAAACCCACAGAGCTACTACTCACCCAAACAATCCGTCTGAAATGAAATTTCTAACCCGATTGAGCCTCCTGATCACCCAAAGCTGAAAGATTCCTCGCCTGAATTTAAATAGCTTTAAATGATGCACCTTCCTGGCATCTCTTTCCCTCATCGCTCCACATGGTTGATTACATCTCTGCTATTCCACTAGAATAATTAACTTTCACACGAGCAGTGTGGTAGTGCTTCAACTGATGCAGCGATGGGGTTGTTATCGTGGTTCTTTTCTTTGTTTTATAGCCGGGTTTGGAGAACTGGGTGGATGGATGTCAGTATGAAGGTTTCCTTTAAGATGGATTCTGCAGATATTTGATTAGTTCACAGATTCTTAGTCCTGCTGCTTGAAACTATTCACATTTAAAAAACTGCTTTGAAGTTTATTCAGATTTTATGAGTTAAAGCAACAAAAAGACGTGCATCGTTTCTGCGAAGGCTTCAGAGGTTTGTTTAGCTTAAGTCAAAGGATATAAGATCTGCCATAAAAGTTGGTTCTGTTTTGATCACAGGAAAATACAATCAGGTGATAATAATATAATAAAATGTTAAAAAAAACAACTCCTTTTTTCATTTGCAAGATAACAGTGCAAAACACAGCAGCTGTTTTGATTTCTCTTTGCTTGTTTTTAACGCTTTTCTTTTACACTGAATTATTCTATTCAATGAAACCAGGAATAAAAGCTGATTTATAACGGAAAAGGATTCAACCTGAGGCTATTGGAGTGGGCATAAGAAGCAGGCATTCTGCAGCTTCAGCTTTGATATTTCTTCCAGGAGAAACCCAGAAAGAGCAGGAGAGGAGAAGAATGAAGGAGCAGATAGAGGAAGAGCTGAAACATCTGGAGGAGGAAATGTCCGCCTGTAAGTTGCCCCAGTCCAACACAACAAACGGTTTATATTTAAGATAGTTTTCTTCTGTTTCTGTTATTGTTCGGTTTCTGAAATATGACCCTGGTAAACATCCCAGGTAAATGTTGCAGCTTTTCTGGAGGTGCCTCTTGATCTTCTCATATGAAAGATGTTTCTTTTCTGGTCTTATCTGGTTGCAGCCTTTTCCAGCACAGGTTTGGACCACCGGCAGTCCTCTGTGTTCTCTCCACCAAACCCAGAGAGCTCAGTAGAAGACGGCCTCGCGTCCATCGGAGACAGGGTGGCCCTGGATCTGGGTCCAGACCTCTCAGCAGCCGTAGAAACACTCCTCGCAGGGTGAGCTTGCAGAGCGAGGATAATAAATCTTTCATGCAATTCATACTGCTGCAGATACTAACAGTTTTCACTCATTCATTGTTGCAACTGTTTCTCGTGTGAAAGTTTTTTAATAGCATTCAAAAGTTCATAGACATGTTTGTAAAAGAGCATTGGTGAGGTGAGACACTGATGTTGGCAGAGAACGTCCGGTTCAACGTCCTGTTGGGTGGAGGTCTGGCCAACAAAGTTCTTCTACAATGAACCTGCTTGCTGATCTCTTCACGTTCCTTGATGATTATCAGTCATGTTGGAACAGAAAAAAAAAAGAAGGAATGTTTGCAAACCGTTCCCACAGAGAGCAGGAGGAGGAAATGATCCAAAATGTCTTTGTTTGCTGCAGACCACCATAATCCTCCTTCCACCGATCTTAAATCAGAGACAGTGTGGTCAGCAGAGGACCATCCGCCTATCAGCTCTCAAACCCAGATCATTATTACCAGAGAGAAGGTGCTAATTCATCCCTCCATGTCCTAACTGCTCCAGGGTCCAGTGGAGAAATGGTTTACTTTGCTGCTTCTAGACTGTAGCGCCTGGTGATGTTCATCTGCGGACCTGACCCTGGTTAGGAGTGACCTTGAGAAATCAAAAACTGCCCATTCTCCTAAAATGTCTCTATGCGTAGCTTTCCATTTTACCTGAACGGCGCCGTAGTTTTCTTCCCCAGGTGCTGAGCAGCTCCTCCACCTGCAGGGCCCAGAACCTCATCAACCTTAATGGTTGATTGCAGCTAAAAAGGATCAGAACAGAACAGCATTTATCCCAGATGGTTTTCATAAGGCTCTAAAACTGGATTCCAGTTGCTTCTGACTCCGAGATATTTAGTTAATGTTTCTAGATCTTTAAAAGCTGAAGCCTGGGAGATAGGAAGCAGTTCTGCTCCATTTGAATGTGATGTTATGCTACTTTAGAACCGCACGCGATGTAGGCAGCAGAAGCAGCTAATTTATATGCAAAGTTAATGGTTGACGCGCATCAAGGCGCAGCAAAAGGTCCGGCAGCGCGTCTAAAGCAGCAGGAGGAGCACGCCTTAGCCACCCAAGCAGCGTCTCATTAGCTTCCGAGCATCTGTATGTTTTGAAAAGTGGTAGATGCTGAGTTTGAAAATTTGAACTTTTTGCTGCTTGACACGCCACATCAACCAATCAGAGAAGCTGATCTGGGAGCTAGTAGGGAGACACAGCACTGCTGATGCAGAGCGCTATGATCACTCCACTGAAACAGTTTATTAACGCCTAAACTAAATTAAAATGTTGAAACCTGCCAGCAAAATAAGTTCAATTTTAAGCAGCAGAAGCTTTTTTGCTGCTATCAGCGCTTGTGGTCTGAATGTAGCATCAGTGAATGATTAACAATAATTGGGAGTTTTAATTATTTTATTCTATACATCAGAACATTAATGCTGACAGTTTTAATAGTTAAAATATCTTGATGAGAGCCTCCGTCTCTCTCGGCTTCCTTTAATCAAACGTCTCCATTAAGCTTGGCGATGTGCTACTTCAATGCGATCTTCAGTGTGAGTGGCTGAGTTCAAGTAAAACTGTAGTGAAAACTGCTGAGAAATGTTGATGAGGTCCCAACTCCCCACAGAGGTTCTGTCTGATCTGATTCTAGTGTCCTTCAGTGGAAGGAAAGGCTGGAATGATCCTGACGACTAACATTAGGGACAGAAATGAATATTAAATTGATTAACTGAAACAGACCAGAAGCATCCAGTGTCTGTTTGACGTGTTTTACTGTTTTATAAAATGTTGTCTTCCCATGCTTCACTTTGAAAGCTCTACACGGTGGCTGCGTGTTGGAAGTGTTTGTGAAAATAAATCTGAATGAAGCGTTTGAAGTAGATTTAAATTAAAGTGTAAATATCAGAACCAGCTGATTATCAGTGTTGAAAAAGCATGAATGTCTTGCATGTTTCAGACCTTTGGACTATCAGAGTTTTCACAGCACAACAGTGGATCTGAGCAAACACACCCCAGAAGGCTGGAACAAAGTGAGTACTTTTTTGATCTGGAATTTTGCAGCTCATTTCAGTTTTTTTTTATGTGTATAATGGTGACACAGCTGCTTTCATTCGGTCTCTGTATCATGGCTCGTCTCCTTCAGGTCTTGGTGCCTCTGGTGCTGCTTCAGGCTCTACAGAGTGAGGGGAAGCCTTTGGCCACTCTGCTGCAGTTGGGTCTGCGCTGCCTGGAGGAAGACCAGGCTCACTTCATTATCCAGCAAGGAGGATGGGTATGTTTTGAACCACTGATACGTGTACATATATTTTAATTAAGCTCTTAAAACGGTTTGTATTGAAACTGAAATCTAGATTACAATGCAAATTGTAGTTGACAATCAAGAAATTGATTGAAAGATCGATTGATTGAAAATGGAGAGGCAGTGCAGCTAAAAACTTCTGCAGATTGAAGCAATGGATGAAATCCCACTAGGGGCAAGGAAAAGCTTCACACAGGGTTTCTGCAGATCATTAAAAGTCATGAAATTATTAATTTTTCAATTAAGGCCTTAATTGGCATTAAAATTTATTAAATGTGATTATTTTGGCATTTAAAATGCTTTAATAAGTTTATAAAAGTTTATAAAAACAATTACGTCGGATATATTATATCAGATAACTGGTTCTGCTTGTTTGCGCAGAACTGCTTCAGGTTGATTGTAAAGCCGTATGTTCGCAAAGGAAGGCGGAGAAAAAGCTAGAGAATGGGAAAATCCTAATTTCAACAAAAGTGGCTGGAAAACGAGGAACAGGACATAGCTGCAGCCTGTCAACAGTAAAGATGAGGAAGGATTTTGCCGTGTTATAGGCCTATAAGTACTTGTTGATGGCATTCAAATTATTTCTAAGAGCATTAAAACAGCATTAAAAAGCATTAAATTATAGTTACTCATTCCTGTATAAACCCTACTGACCCACGATGAGAACACATCCCCAAAAAAAGATGAGAGATCTGGACCCAAAGGTTTTAAAAACCGACTAGTTTGTCGGTGCAGACATAAACTCAGCATCCTTGGTACCATTTGGAAGAGGTGGACTTGGTGTGGTCCACTTCTATTGTCCGTCTGACACAAATAACAAGCCTCATCCATCATGTAGCCAGGTATGCATTGCATTATGGGATGCAGGAGAGGGTTAAGGGATTAAGTAAACAATGGCAGAGCGTCGTTTTATAACACATGACATCTTCTCAAAATTAAAGCGAACCTACAGACCCATTAAAGATTAGTAGATTGTTTTCTACTAACACAGCCTCTCCTTCCTGTTTTATATCACAGACTAATCTGAACCAATAAAGAGGAAGCATGAGAAAAGAAGAGCATGAGACTGTATGTTTATTCTGATCATTTAAATTTAAGTCAGAACAGCTAAACATCATCCAAAAACAAAAGCTTTACCTTATTCAGTAGATCAGGACTGCAAGGGTTTAATGAAGTTAGACTATGTCATCGCTCTCTCAGTGACCTTTAACCTCTATCCATCTTTATTAGGTGTGCACATCTACTGCACTGAGACGACACCAAACTGGCTAAACACATTATTCAATTCAAATTTACTTTATTAATCCCAAAATTATATAAAATGTTGGGACTTAATGTGTGTTTATATTCACTTTAATAATTGACCTTTGAGCTTCAATCTTTGAGCTTCAATCTTTGAGCGTCAACCACCTGACTGAAATAGTGTTGGTGACAGAAGAAATGAAGATCAGGTTGTTAAATGGTGTGAAGATGGTGAAGACAGGCATGTTATACATTGGTCACACGAGGGCACTAGTGAGCTACATCAACTGCAGTGCACTGCAAGCTCAGCAGAGATCGAGTTCTGTGAGAGCCAGTTTAAAACCAAAGTATCCCATGTTTATCAGGGTTTGTGCATGTGACAATTTCAATCTGTGTAAATTAAAACATGCTGTAGTGATGTGTGTGTAAATGTTATGCCCCAAAGCAACGTGTTCTCACATTATTAATGTAGGAAAAACCCAACCTCTAACTGGACTGCATTTAATCAGTGGGGAAACGAGACCCAGACTAATACATGATCAATTCTTTCAGCAGGGAGATCTTTATAGAGTCATTTGTACCTTTCAAGGTGGTCAGAGGTCAGATTAGACATAAATATGATTCAGCACAGAAGTAAGTGGTTTATTTCAGCCATTTTCCCAAAAAAGGAAAGAGGAGGAATATTTAAAGCAGTGTTATTTTAAGTAAAATCTGAGTTTGGAAGGGAAATTTTAAAAGAAGGGGAAAAATAGAAAAATAAACAACAATTTAGCTTAGAATGGATCTAGTTTCCATCCACCTAAAACCAGATATTTACGGTAAAAAAGTGACACAGCTGTTTTTGTGTGTGACATCAAATCAGATTCAAATGTTCCTTTTTTAGGTAGTTTAGGATCATGCACTTCATTTCAATTTGCTAAATGCCAAAATGAAAATTTTCTTTATTATTATTATTACTTTCATCTAGGGCTAAAACACTTCAGATTGTCAAAATCAGATTAAATGTGATTAACCGATTATTGAAATAATCGTTAACTGCAGTATAGAGACTGTACAATATGCCTTTAGATGTTAGAAAAAACCACTTACAGCAGTAATTGTATCAAAATTGTAAAAAAAAAAAAAAACATATATTTGCATTTAAGATTAAAAGAAATAACGTTTTCATCTATCAAATGCACCACCCAGAACTCCTCAATTGGAAAAGTTTTAGTTTCACCTGGTTTCATTTCCTAAAAAATCTTCTTTAAAGAACCTTTGGCTATTATTAGCAAATTAATCATTAGTTGCAGCCCTATTTTTCAAGTCGAATTTACCGATGTTGAGAGTGAAGAGGTGGTTTGTGTTGGAGAAATGTTGGTGTGAGATGATGAAGATGTTGCATTTCTTTTATTCATGGTACCATTTGGTGAAGGATTTGCCATGAGCTCAAACAGCTCAGCTGGACTGAGAGTAGAGAGAGTAGCGAACGCTCCACATCTGGTTTCCGCCCATCGTTTCAGCTTTTAGCAGCGTTTTGGGGAAATGAGCGATATTTGGATTCTGCGTTGTTTTTTCAGTAGAGCACTGCCTAGTGGGGGGGCGGCCTTAAACGAGGTCACACTGATGAAGGGACACGTGACTCGACAAGGCGACTGACTCGACTTACTTCATGATATCCTGCCAGTTTATATGGACACAGCCCTCTGCCTCCAACAAAGTTCCATTCTCATATGCCGTTACGTCACAGCGGACAGACAGATGACGGCCTCACAGGGAGAGAAAGTGGAAGAGGAGACTGTGATGGGCAGGAAGGGGAGGGCTGAGAGAGGAGGAGGTTAAAGGATGTGAACAGCAGCCAGTGAGGGCGTGCATGCTGACGCTCTGCTGCCTCCTCATCTCACCGGTGTCTGTCCTTCTAGCGCTCCTCAGCTTTGTGCGCTGAAGTGTGAACCCGGGCTGCAGACTTCGCACTGAGGTAGGATGTTTTACTTTGGATCTACACAAACAGGGAACTTATTAGTCCTGGTGTTTGCCATGAATGGGTCTTCTCTTACTGCCAACATGGCCACCTCCTTCTGTCGGGTAGTTGAGAAAACTCACCAAGCAAAAAAGAGGCTTCTTCTTGTCTCTGTGTGATGTTTATTTTTTAATCCAACGCCTCTTTAGGCGCCGATCAGGACAGATCATTTTTTTCTGTCTGAGTTTAAAAGTCGATATTCTGAGTTCAAAGTGCCGCAGGTGAAAGTGGAGCGCTGTGGGATTTTGGAGGCTCTCGTGATGTTTGTCCGTTAGAAGAGAAAACAATGAGGATTATTATGAGCCTAATGTGGCTCACACTTCATTTAGCAGGAACAAAGCTACTCTCCCTGTGACAGAACACTGGCTGGGCCGGGTTCTGGAGGTGCAGCAATGTGAACGCAAAAGGGAAGGGATAGTGGAGTTGTCATGAAGGATCAGACTGCTGCCCTGTCAGCTGAAAGTTGACGTCAGCCATTTTCTCATGCAGGACGGTCACTTTGGTTTAATTTGAATCCTGGATGATGAAAGTGACAAACGGGCGTCTGTGTGTTCAGCAGGAGCGTTTGGAGGTAAAGGCGATATCGCTGTTTGACAGTGAACTGATAGTCAAAGCGGAATATCTTGGAAGATTGTAAAACATTTTATTTGCTCCTTCAGTTTTACATCAGCTAAAGCTAATGTTAATAAACTCCTCAGCAGGAGGGTAGCTGACCCACTTGAAGCATCCTTTAGAGCATAGGAATTCCCACAGCACATTAACCGTCTGCTGAATTTAAACAGGTCAGTCGGCCATTTTTTTTCAGCCGACAATGAAACGTTTCCAGATTTCCAGAAGTGGAGCTTTAATAATTCAACTGGGATCAAAGTATTTAGCTGTTCTGAAATATTACAGTTAAGATAATATTAAAATATTTCCTTTTGTCGGTCTTCTTTTGTTTATTCCATCTGTCCTTTCTTTCTTCCTTTTGGGTTACTTTAGTATCTGTCTATAAAATGGTTGTAAAACATGATCTTTGAACTCTAATGTGAGTCTAGAAAAGAATAAAATCACTAAAGCGACGTGACAGATCTCTCAGAGCCATGTTTGTGAGCGCCCAGGCTTTAGGAGCCAGTAGGTCCAATAAATGCTGAGTCACTTAGAATCACCATATTTAATGTGAGCGAGATAATGTTAGTTTGGGCGAGTTAATTTCATTACTGGATCTTGCTTCCCTGACAATCAAACCCCAAATTAATCCAGATTATTACCTTTTTTTGATGTCCGTTGAGCTGTGGCGGTTTGTGTTTCCCTGCCTGCGCTCATCTAACGTCGATTTTTAATGTGATAGGAAACTTTGTTCAGTGAGAGTGAAAAGCAAAGACAGACACGCTCCACAGCTCTGGCTCTGACCCAGGAATCTGTAGCGTTTTATGGTTCAGGTTTTTTCTTTAGGCGAGGGTGGAGAACTGAATGTGGCAACTAAATCACACGTAGGTTAAAGTTTTGCAGCTGCAGCGCAGTTGAAGGACAGATCGACCCGCCTGATCAAGCTGAAGGTTAACTGGGGTAAAAAGGTAATCTTTTGTGTTATTTAAGAGCAAGGAAGTTATCTGATTTTTAAAATTTCTGCTATTTAATTGCTGATCTTTTAGTAATTAATGTAACGAGTCCTGCTTTCACAACTTTTATACCCGCTGTCTAGCTTAAAGTGCAGAGACGACTTTCTCTCTGCGGGGAATTAAAGCTGAATAATAAAGCAGAAATGACTAAAAGCCGTCTGTTTGCTGTAGTTCCTGACATTGCAGCCTGGTTAATGGGACACCAGTCTCTAAAGTGGGGGAGGATTTTAGGAAGTACTCCTGCCGTTCCACGCAGAAATCAGCTTAGAAAGGAACATGGATGTTGGATAACTGTGGATCTCTGCCAGATTTAATCTCTCCTTTTATCCTGCATATGGCTGTCTTGCATGACAGAGACTGCGGGGAAAAATAACCTTCACAGTTTATTGGAAACGGGCATCAGCGCCGGTTTGCATATCTTGATTTAAACTGGGCGTGTTGCTGTTTAGTCGTGTTGACCCCTCCTGTCAGACGAACAGCTCGGTGCCTGTTGGAATCTCATCAGATGTGACAAACAGCCGAACTAGCACTGTCAGAAAGTGTTAATCCAGCTGAAGACGTCATCTCCACCTGTGATTCAGCTCTTTCTATCCGTCATCTGTGACGTAGCGAGTTTACAGTGCTTAAAAAAAAAAAAAAAACTGCATGATTCTCATTTTCCACTAAAAATAATTTTTTATATTCATTCTATGTGAGAGACCAACAGGAAGTGATGCTTTATTGTAAAGCAAAAGGAGGATGTTTGGAATGATGTTGCATTGCTCCATTTTTTTTTTTTTTTTTTTTGAGACAACCTAGTAAAATACCTGCTGACTGGAGAGACTGCTGTACAACCTCTCTAATTAAGAGCATATCTCTGTCATGAAGTGCTAACGACCGTCATGCATTTCCTGCATTGCTGACATGAAGTGTGGTTGTCTATGGCAGGGTAAGCTGCTGGGCCTTGTGCAGGAGGAGGAGCCGACGGGGCCAATTGCAGACGACAGCAACGACATCTACATCCTGTCAGAGGATCAGCAGCCTGACCAGCCCAGCCCGCCGTCCTCGCTGCTCTGCACAGGAGACGACAGCGAGCAGAGCTCCTGGCAGACGGAAAGTTTAGCCGTGTCCTGGGCACAGGTTGGAGCGATGGACCCCGAAGATATCAAGAGCCTGGACAGCAACGAGGGCGCGGCCCTGGCTGAGGAGCGCAGCGAAAACAACTCCTCCAACTCGGACATCGTCCACGTCGAACGCGAGGAGGCTGAGCTGCTGGAGGAAGGCGGCGACGCCGCAGCGATAGATGAAAGCATGATGAGCGTGCTGGGCACTGAGAGCGACCTGGCGGCACTCAGGGCCGAGTTCGGGACGGTCTCCACACCTCCTGCATCCCTAATGTCATTAGAGGAGCCGGTCATCATCGAGACGCCCATCAGTTCTGCAGAGCCTTCCCACCTCTCCGCAGAACCAGAGCTGCTCCATCCCACTCCAGACCCGGTTGCTCTCCCTCAGACAGAGCCCCAACCTGGACCTGAAGCTCCTCCCGCTGTTCCTGCAGTAGAACCAGAACCTGAGCCAGAACCCAATGCTGCCTCCATGCCTGTTGAGGTGGAAACTACAGGTCAAGTCAAGGAAATCTTACCAGCACCAGCAGAGCCAGAAACCTCAGCAGAACCAGCTTCTAAACCAAAGCAGGAAATGGAGCCAGCCACAGTTCCTCAGCCGCCAGAACCAGAGACTGTGGCAGAGCCCCATTCCACAGAGGCCCCCGCTCCTGAACCCCCAGCCCAGGAGATCCCAGTAGTAGCCCCATTAACATATGAGATGATGCTACCTGTGTGCACAACTCTAGAAGCTCCTGAGGCCCCTGAAGAAACCCCACTGGTCCTTAAAGAGGATTTAGCTGAGGAGGTCCCAGAGCAACCAGAAGCAGCAGAAGAGTGCCCAGTGCTGCTTTATGGAGGAGCTGTGCTGGTGCTTCTTGCTGCTATAGCCTGCAGCCTTGTATTACTCAGAGGGAGGTAGAGCATCCTGTAGGAAGGAAAACCCCTCAGTGTAAAGAAATATTTTATTATAGACGTCAGAAGGTCCTTCAGTGTGTGCTGGATATATATGATTAGTTGATCCTCGAGGTTTCAACCCTGAAGGTCTGTAAGCAAAGCAAAATCCTCTATGGTGGTGCTGCAGTTCGATCCGGTCCAAACGCTCCCCTCTCTCTGCTCTGATAGGATCCTCACTCCAACCTCAGATGTGTTTGGATCTCCGTTCGGACTTCCTGTCAGTTACATGCTGTTTTTCTCCTGTTTGGCTTTTAGTTTCACATGAAATTAATCTGAAAATTTCAGCGGCAAATCCTCAGATTTAATTTTCTACTTTGATGATAAATTCTGAAACATGTTATGTTGAGGTGGACCCATTCAAAGACCATCTGTTATAAAAGGAATTTCTGACATGTTCTGCTCTACATGCAACATGTTTTTTATTTTCTTCTAAATAAAATATTTGTTTTTCTTCCCCATAAAGATGAATTAGATTTTTTATTGCTGCATTCATTCCAATCCTCTGATGTTGCGTACCAGAGTTGGTTTGATGAATTTAAAACGCTGCTGTGTTGTTTACAGTATTTAATGTATCAACCCCAGAAATTCTCCAACATTTAAGGGTGGGGTGAAAACTGGAAAGTACGGTTCAGTTGGATGTGTTTACTCTGTAGATGGTCTATTAGTCAGAATAAGTTCTGCTGCAGGTTCTACCTGGGAGCAGCTGCAGAAACCGGTTCTCTGGAACCCATAGAGGTTCTTGAGAAGCTTGTGGGGAAGCTTCAACTTCCTGAGGAAGTACGTCTATGTTGGGCTTGAAAAAGTTGAACAGAAGGCTGATCTGCCTTTGAAGCTTTAAACCCAGTGGACCAAAACCAGTACTGGAATATTCACACAAAACCACAGCTGAGTGCATTCTGTCCCCTTGATTAGTATTTGAATTTAAGTTTTCACCAAAAATGTATATATATATATATTTTTAAATACCTTTTAGCAGCAGTACATTTTCCCCCTTTAACCAAGGTTAGGAGTTGTTTAAACAAAGTGGGTGATAGTTGTATCTCATGACCTGGAATGTCTGTATGAAGGCGTTTATAAATTTAAATAAAACCTGTTTGTGGTTGCCATGACCCGGATTACTGAGAATTTACACAGGCGTGTTTAGAAATAATTTGCTTTATAATCAAATCGAGGTGGAATTTTTCATTTTTATCGTTAGCGTTTCCATTTCAATTGTCTTCAAAACTAAGTTGGTTTTATGCTGTTTTCAAAAACGCAGGTTTCCCCATTTTGGTATTTCCATTAAATAACAAATGGCATTAAAGTTACATGTGAATACATTTATTCAGGCGACTTTGGAAACAACATTATGGCAGATGTATCTATATTTCAGCTGCAGCTCTAGTGAACATCATCATCCAACTACTTCCAGTCTTCTTGCAAGGCAGTAGCCCCAGTTGACTCATTGGATGCAAAAATTGTGTTTCTATTGTAGTTTTGTGGAATATGAGCATTTCAATTTGACTGGAAAAAACCCCACCTCATTGAAGCATTAAAAATGATCAATAAAATGTTTTTTTATTGAGCAAATTTGTCAATTTTCACAGTTTGATGTTTAATGGGACTGCAGATATTTTCCTTCCACTTAATTTTCTTTCAATTTACTTTGAACCAGCAAGTTAAATTGGTGGAAAAAATGTCTTACTTAAAGCGATTCACTTTATAAGAATTGACTGGATTCTATTGGCCTCTGTGGGTGATGTTATTCCGTTGATCACCTTCAACTAAAAAGTTAATCCAAATATTTTTTAAGTTCTCTGGGTGATTCAATACTAAAGGAAATCTGTTTTAATTATTTGGATATAACTAAAAATCTAAGAGTTACAACATTTTAATTTTTTTTCCCATAACAAATGTTTTTTTTTACTTTCAGTTTCACTGTTTAAACTTGACTTCAGTCAAAACTTAAACCAAATGAACATTAAGCTGAATAGCAAACACTTCCAAAAACAGGAGGAAACCAAAAGGGGGAAAAGGTTATTCTTAGGGTGTTTATTTACATTTATAATATAATACAAGGTCTGTACAGGATGGTGCTGAATTTAAAGTTCATTATAGGTCACACTAACCTTTATGTTGTATGATAAACATACCAAAACAAAAACGGTTCAAACTTATTTGATTCAAGTATATAATGCTAAGTAAACAGAAACATGTAAACAAAGAAATTCGAGTGTCAAACTTAACTCTCTGTTCCCCTTTTTTACGAACGGGATGCTAAATCAGTCATTGGTTCCTGTAGGTCAGAAACATTTTTAACCAACACTGCTTCCAAGCACCAAACCTTTTTAAGTGCTTAGTTTTGAAGAGCAGGTCCTGCCTCCAGTAACTTCCTCTGAAGATGCTGAAGTCATCTGGACCAATTCTGGCTGATGAATTGAACCGCTGTGTCAAACAAATTTTTTAACAACTTGGGAGCCTGGAAGCAGACTCCCTTTACCAGGATGAGTACAACGGCCACAAAGACTCTGTCATGGGGCAGGCCGTTCACGTGCAATCCTTCCCTCATCAACCGCTCCGCTTCATTTGCAAGGTGGCTCCTCAACTGATTGGCAGAATACAAAGCAAATATTACTACAGGCTTTTATCACATTTGTTCCATTAAGCAGGTTTTTTAGCTCATTCCAGTGTGATGTAGTGCAGAGCTTACATTATTAGGCGTTTCTTGTATATTCCTGCTCAGGTTCTGAGCGGCCCGCTCCACCATCTCAAGTTCAAACTGAGCTGCTATCTCTCTCAGCCCTTGAGCAACGGCCTCAATGTTGATCCTTTCCTCTTGTTCTCCTATAGGAACAGATAAGAGACAAAACTCAGTAGGACCAGCTCTGTTCACACCCTGCTGAATGTTTTTTTGGATTCTAATGGGAGGATAGCGACGATTACGCATTTAAAACCAGTCAGGCCTAACGCACTGACCACATAACTTCTTCCTCCCCCATCCAAGCATGACCTCCAGCTGATCTCTAAAGGTTCCTGTGGTATTTGGCACCATGTTGTTTCATAATGTCTGTATAAACTGAGAGGCGGAGCTTATAAAGCACAGCTTCCTGATCAATTTATTAGAAACGGGAGGAATAAGGAGGCAAAGGAAAGTTTGATCCATGACAGGACAAAGCATCCTGCCAACACGGAGAACGGCTTTCACCCTCACCGATCTGCACCCTTATTCTGTTACGCACCATTTAATCTGACATATTCTTCTATAATACTTAAGCAATCTGTGCTTTTACCAAATACAGCAAGCATAAGTTCCAAATATTCCTCTTCATCTCTACAGGCATTTATAATGTTTTATAAAAAAGTACAAATCAGGCCCTCAAAACATACTAAAAATCCTCCTAAACTAATTTTTTTCCCCCTGCTTTTATCAGTATTTGTGATGACACCATGATCTGTTTTTCACTAATCCAATTATCTGTCATTATGTTATGCCTGATTTTGTTTTATTTATGTAAAATGTCTCAAAGTCTATAAATAGAAGTTGCTTTAAGTGATTAAATCACAACATTTAAAGGCTATACATGTTCTGCTCTCAGCTGTTTCTGCAATTGTTTCTGCAACCAGAAGTGATAACATTTCTGCAACCAGAAGTAATGATAACATTTCTAACCAACTAGAAGTGATGATAACATTTCTAACCAACCAGAAGTGATGATAACATTTCTAACCAACCAGAAGTGATGATAACATTTCTAACCAACATAAGATAAAGCAGATAACATGCTCTATTCCTCTGAAATCTATTAACAGACTGCTACTGTAGGCCTGTCCTGTGAAAGTGAAACTCAGCTGTGGTGTTGTTATTGTGTGTGGAGGTGATTCCCAGGTATCCCGGGGGATACTGACCGGGCCGTTGCAGCACCGGCAGCGGCAGGATATCATCCAAACACATCGTGATGTTTCCAGGTAGATGGCCATCGCTTTCCAGCTCCCCGCTGTCCTCGGAGCCAATTCTGTGTCCATTGTGGTTGACATCCCACTGTGCTACTAGATCTTCCCCTTTGGCCGAAAGTTCATAGTTGTAGTTCAGCTCATTAGAGTCGGTTTGAAGGAAGGCGAAGACAACAAGAGCGGCGGTTTGCTCGTTGGCCAGAAACGTCAGATCTTCCATCGATGAAAAAAGGCTGTATTATTAAAAAAAAATAATAATTTAATTAATAAAAAAAACGAAAAAAAAAATACAAAAATATATCCAGCGTTATTTGTTTAAATTAAACCACTAAAATAAAAATAAAAAACAGTAAATTTTGCGCACTAAAATAAGTTAGCAGAGAACAGCTAACGTAATGCTAACTTTGGTTAGCATCAAAGTTTACTTTACCTAAAGTACTAACAGACAACAAAATACAGACGGCGAGTTTTATACTACAACAGACCTACTCACGACCCTCTCTGTCTTATCCTAAAAACATTAAGGTGGAATTTAAATGTGAACTCTGAGGCGAACTCCCGGGTTACTTACTTTATTATCGACTAAACAGCTTCATGACTCCGTTGTTTTGTCACTGTGGAAGCAAGGCGGACTTTCAAAATAAAAGCACTTGGAATGACGTTCTTTTTCATCCCTCCAATGAAATGAAAACAAACTTGCTTCAGTACTCATAAAATAATTTTAGAAAGCGAAACAACTAGCCAATGTGAACATGTTTAGACTTATCCTCAGAAAGGGGAAATGGGAAGCTTGTTATGGAAACAGTAATTGAACACAATGTCCTCAGACAAATAAACTTTTTTTCAATATTACAGCCAGTCTTCAGAGGCGTAGCCAGACATTTTTTATAAGGGTGGCCAGGTAGCAAATGTACAGTGACGGGTGGCCGATAGTGGATAGGCACCAGAACCTCAGGGTCAATCTACACAGTTTCAACAGGAAAATTAACAAGCAAAACACCCATATTTTCCAAATAAAGACTAACTTTACTTTCCTACAGCCTTTGCTAACAAATAGAGGCATATATTTAAACATCCGTAATTTTCTAGATAAAAGCTATAGTGGATAAAGGGGGCATAAATCAATCATCATAGTCATTAACTTCTCGTATCAATAAACATTCTGCATAAAATTGATATTTACAAGCACTAATATCTACATAAATTGATTATTTAATACGTTTTTATTAAAATAGTTATTTATCTATGATTTCACTGACTCCTAGGTGACTTCCAGAGGCACATAATTTTCTCTTTACCCCATATAACACAAAATCTAGTGCTGAAAAGAGCATGAATTCTGTACTTATCATCTTTGATGTTAGAATATTGATGTGTATAATTAACCACAAAAAAATAAAATGTTTTGAATATTCCACTTAAGAGTATTACTGCTGCCATTGTCTGTATAGAGGGAAAAAATGTTAGGGGTGGCCAATAATTGGCTAGGGATGGCCATGGCCACCCCTGCCAATCTTATCTCTTTTATTTACAAATATATATCAAAACAGGAACGTCTACAGGGGCATAATGGTATTTCGTCCTGGTTTATTAAGTTTTTTTTAAGTATTTTTTTAGTTCAGTTATTGTATATATATATATAAAAAAAAACATTTTAAATTCCTGAATAACATCCAAAACCAAAAGGCAATGAAATTTCTCTCCTCTAAAACTGAAGTTCACATTTTACTTTAGGTTTACTTTCTTAAAACACAGCTTGATATAGGTATTAGCAATCAGGCATAACTGACATATTAACTCAGCACATCAGTTTTTATTGTCCTTTTAAATATAACAATTAAAAATAAATGAATCCTTCCAGGGGTTTTTATATAGTGTTTGTTAATTGAACTATTGTTTACAATCTGAGTGATGAATTGTTTGTGCACACAAAGAGGATTTTATTTCTGATGGATTTATTAAATGTCAAGTGAAATATGTAAACCCTATAATTCTTGTATTTTTGTTATGATCGTGAATTACAGATATGAATATCAAAATTTATTGCAGAAGATTTAAATATTTCATTAAAAGATAATGCTCAAAGAAAATGTGGTAAGAAAAGAGAACACCAGAGACAACCACAGCTCCATAGGACTGCCCTTAAGGCTGGAGTTTTAGGCCCTATGACTGACACGTGTTTGAAAAACACAACAGTTTCTAGCCAGAGAACATCAAGATATTGTGGTAAATAAAAAGTAAAATATTAATTCAGATGTACCTCTTCTCAGCTCTCTTCCTTAGATCTACTCAGTGAATATTTAGGTACTGATACCATGGCTCCCAAAAACAAACTTAATGCAGAAATGAAGGTTAGTGCTGAAAGTGTTGGAAAATTGAATGCAGGAGGCAGAAAACTTAATCATGGCATCTATGAAAATAGACTAAGACTCAGCTGTTGCTCTATATTCAGATGTCTGAGACGGTTCGAATAGTGGTCTGACTTGAAAAGTAAACTAGCCATCTACGTTTTAAATATTGACTCAAGATGCTGTCAGTTATAGAAACGGGGAAGCTTCAAATAAAACCTGAAACTCAAGAGGGGGAAAAAAATGGGAGACTTTTCGTGGCTTAGTGTAATATCAATCTTCCCTCATAAAATGTCATGTCATCTGATTTCATGTGAACTTTACCCTAAAAATAGTTTAAAAGCTCACTTGTTTACTTTATCAGTGAGCAGTAATATTTGTTTCTGAAACCTTTTCCTTCCTTATGGAAATATTTTACACGTTTACAGTTTACTTGAAGTTTGTAAAAAAACATGGACATTTACAAAAAAATAGCTAGTGAGACAACAATTGAACTAATTTCTTCCTGAAAAATATAAAATAATCAAGAATAGCTTCACAATCTAGTTTTAAATAATTTGCACCTGTGTAAATAGAATAGAATTGTTATTTTTTTCCCAACTGAAGCAGTATTTCATGTCATTGTATGTCTATAATTTTTTTTCTGTGAAAAAAAAAGCCAGTTTGGAAAGAATTTCCCTGCTTGGTGCATATCAGACCTGGAATAGAGATTTTTCCTAGATGGTTTTTGAGGCTTTAATCTTAAACGTTTATATCAGTGTCTTTTAGTTCTTACCAAGATTGCTTTATTGGGTAAAGAAAAAAATCCGGAGGTACGCTTTTATTTTGAAAGTGCTAACGACTATTTATATCTATGATACATTCACGGGGCATCCGAATTCTGCCAACCAAAGATTGGCGACTATTTATCCAGGGTAGTTAGTTCAAATCTACTGAGAGAGCAGCCGACGAATTCATTTAGATTGTTTTTAAAAAGTGCGAGTTTCTACTTTTGGCAAAAATAGCTTAAATAATATGACCCACAAGGAATAGGCCAATTTGAAACAGAATTATGAAATTCGGTTTAAATGAGAAGGACCGAAATACGAGGGGTTTTTTTGTTGTTTTTTTAATAATATCTCCAAAAATAAACAGTTTAAAGTATATTTTTGTGAGAGTTGAAAGCATTTCAAATATGATTTGGCGACAGTAGTTATGAAAATAACCAATTTCATTGAACATCGCCATGGAAAACAGTTTACAGTTGAATGGTCATACTTCCTTTGAATCTCACAGTTCAGTGCAACTTAGAAAAAAAAAGAAAAAACTTCCAGAGGAAAGTCCCCTTAAAGATAACAAATTTACCACATCTACACAACCAACAATACAAAATTGACAAATAATCAGCATGCATGTATTAAAGTACTTAAAATGTTTATTAAAAGAAAATAAAACAAGTAAAAGACCATCCGCGGATTGGACTCATGGAGTTACAGGATATGCTGGAATCAAATTATCCCATTAAAGCCAACTCAATCTAAAGTTCTAGTTACACAAGTTCCTCCAAACAAACAAGACTGTACATGTAACCATTTCTGTGAGCTTCACTTTAAGAGCTACAGGCTTATAACAAAGATATTTCCTGTTTCTCCAAAGAGATTCATCACTTGTCAGACAGCATACCCTGGACAACCAAAGCTGACAGATCGAGTGGTTTTCCTTCCAACAAGTCTTCTCCCTATCCTTGGTACGGACCCCACTTTCATGGGAGGCTTCAAACCAAGGGAGAAATTCTGTTTTGGGGATAAGGCCGCCTGTCGTGCCTCCTGGAGCTCCCTGTGAATTAAAACAATGTCAATCAGTAAACAAAAGGTAAAAATATATATATCCATCTATATTACTACTCATGTAAACACCCTGTATAATGATCCTACAAATAAAAAAAAACTGTCATGTGGACGCACTGTATATACTGTATATATCCCATGCACCTTATTCTTCCTTTGGCACATCCTTCTTTGACTATTTGAGCTGATGTAACGATTAGATTTCGCCACTGTGGGATCAATTAAGTCAATCAATGAAATCAAAGCCAGCAATCCGCATAATAACTTGTTTTACACAACAATGAAAACTCTGTTTTCCTTCTATGGTAATGACAAGTCTGACCAAAAGGTGGCAGTCAGGACATCAGTCACCAACTAGCTGCCTCCTTACTTTTCAAGCATTGCTGTTCTGAATTTCTCCACATTGAGCTCCCAACGCAGCTGAGCAGCCAGCGTCTCAGTCCTCTTTTCCCTCAAGACTGTGTGTTTGCAAAGCTCTTTGGCGGAGGGCCGCTTAACCGGGTCAGGATCCAGCAAAGACTGAAACGGCAAGTTCAAAAGGAACATCAGGCGAAAAGTGGCGTCCCTGCAGACGGCACCTCTGGATTCAGTCAGTTTCTATGAATACCTGAAGTAAACCTTTGAATGAAGGAGAGAGGGCTTGTGGCACCGGGGGGAGGTGACCCTCTCTGAGACTGTGCCACTGATCTCCATTAGGAGGCAGAGGGGGGGCACCAGCCGCCAGCAGCACAGTAAGGCCCAGAGCAAATATGTCAGCCTTAGGGAGGTGGGTGTAATCCTGGGGAGCAATAAACAAAAGGTCAAATCAAGAAAGTGCACCCAGTCTACAGCAAACAACCAAAAACATTTTACCTCATGCAAAATTTCTTTGGCGAGGAAACGGCTGTCCCCCTCCTCGACTTGTGGACTACTTACTGATGTCACATGACCAAGATCACCTGCAGACGAATCTGATTTGTCAACAACCACACTCAAAAAACAAAAGCAAATCAAGCCACCTAGCAGCATTAGATACCAATTTTATAAAGGACTCCAGCTGAAGACTGGTCCTCATCTTCCCCCTCGCTCTCTACCTCGCATCCTCCATCTGCACTGGGCTGCTGGCAAATGAATATGTTGCCTAGAAAGAGTCAGAAGCAGGTTGACTGGAACAGGAAGGATGGGTGTAGAATCAGAGACGCAAACAGAGACTGAACATACTTGGCTTGAGGTCTAGGTGGGCCAGGCCTGAGCTGTGGATGTATTTTAGACCCATAGCCACTTGTAAAAGCAGATCTTTGAGCTCAGCCTCTGTAAGCTGCTCACCCTGTTCCTTCTTCTTTATAATGGCATCCCCCAGGCTTCCACCTGGGGAGGTGGGGCATCAAATCAGAGCATCACAGAAATGTTACAGTGACTCAATGCAAAGTGAAAAATATTTAATATAGATTTCCAACAATGTTCATTTTTCTGTTTTAGATGTAGCCTATTAAAACCTAAAATGTTTCTCAGAAGGTTACAGAACTAAAACCTGACCAATACACGGATTGGTAGTAGCTAGATTTGGACCTAATTAACAGAATCTCCAGATTCAGTACAGCATGCAACTTCAGTACCTATTCTAGGCTCCTGTTGCATGAATTACTGTATGTCGTAAAGATTAGGGGTGTAAATTAATCGTTTTGTATCGATGCATCGATCCAACAGCCAACGATCCGATTCATCGACACGTCCGCAAGAGTATCGATGCATGTTTTTTTTAAAGTTTAATTTGCTCCATGCTGCAGTGGCGCTAAATCTATTTTGCCCTCCTACCTCGCTTCCTTTAGCCACTACCTTCTTCTGCTAGCACACACACACACACACACACTTGCATAAAGAGAAGGCAAGACAGACATGGCAGAGAAAAAAAAAAAAGGGATGACTTACACACCCCTTGCGGGTTCAATCAATTGTGTGGAAGTATTCCTCTCATTTGTTGTAGTTTCTCAAATAAAATGCATAACGATATTACAGCTTTCGTGGATTATTTCAAATTTGAAACATTATCTAGCCTGTAAGGTAGAAAAAATAAATGACCAAAAATTGAATCGTAGTGCGTTCTTGAGTATTGAAAATAATCAAATCGTTGGGTCAGGAAATTGATACGGAATCGAATCGCCATGATGGATGTGATTTACACTCCTAGTAAAGATCAGCCTGTGGCTTTGCCGAGGTGTTCAGGAAGCCCTGGTTGCTTTAATAGTAGAACTTTCAAAGAAGTTTTAAAAAAAAAAACCTAACACCAGGAAGTTTTTTCAATTCAAAATGTCTGGATTAGCGTCGAGTTCCAGGCTTTATAGAGTAGCCCAATGAGTTGATTCCTTCCCGCTATAACCCCATCACTATGCAGGGGACCAAAACATCTCACCTGGTCAGCCAGGCCAACAATGACCCTAATGACTCCTTTTTCAGAGGCATAGGCCAGTATTGGGTATTGCAGGTCAAAAATGACCTCAATGACTCCCCCTTAGTGTAGACCTGTTCTTTTGGTTCAACTTGCATGTTTTCTAAGCCATAACAAGGCTTTTGTTGGGCTACTCTATAAAGCTTGGAACTCAACGCTAATCCAGACAGTTTGAGTTGGAAAAAGCTTCCTTTATGGTTCAAACTTGTAAAACAAAGTCCAGTGGTTTATTTATTTATTTTTTTACTTTTTGGAACGCCCATGACCTGGAAGACTGATCTTAACCAGCATAATAGTAGAACTTCAGCTCTACACATCGCAAAAACTATAATATTAGCTTTTTTTAAACAAGTGTATTTTCCCTTGATTTGAGCAGGTAAGGAAGAACATTTTCCAAAGATGATTTAGACTTAAAGAAAATAAGCAACCCAGTTGTCTTATCTAATTATATTATTTATAATCTCACCAGCCTGCTTAAATTATTTTGGTTCAGTTTCATCGTCTACCCCTTCAATAAGAGTGTGAGATTAAGGATCAGAGCAGTTTTCTGGTGTCATCACAGTGATTAAACCAGTATTGATTCTTTTAGCAGCGTGGCCAAAACACTATTTTTGGAAAAGGAAATGAGCATCTTCAAAAAGCTATATAGAGAAGTTAATGTATTTTATTTTATTTTTATAATTAATACTGCCTACATTTTGACCTCACAACTTAAAAATAAGCTTATTTTATTTATTGGATTAGTTTCTTCAGGATGCAACTGTGAAACATACCATCACAGTACTCATTCTGAATCAGCATGTGGTCATCCTCTGCCCAGGCAGAATAATAGCGAACAACATGTGGGTGGTGTCCAAGAACCGCATGTGCATACACCTCCTTTAAAGCCAGCTGCCTGTGTAGAAAAATGGGAAGAAAAATAAGATTTGCATAAATTAAAGTGGCTCAGGTTTGGATGAGATGACCAAAACCCAGACTCACTCATTGGAAGAGCCAGCCAGGGGACGTCTGGAGCGTTTTATGGCATACAGGCACCCATCCAGTCGATTAACGCACTTATAAACTGCCCCAAACTCTCCCACACCGATGCACTCCAGCTCTAGGAACTCGCTCTCGTAGCGCGACAGCATGAAGGCTTGGACTGCACGTCTCTGCAGAAGGCCACAATCAAACCAGAAAAATCAAAAACACTTCTATAAAAGGAGCATTGAGTCATGGAAAGACGTCCTGGATTCTCTCATATCTCTCCAAATATGGTGCCACTTCCACCCTAAAAAAAAAAAAAAAAAAAATGGAAAAGTGTCTGACAGCCTTTAGTTTTTATTTTCCTCATCCAGAGACTCCTCAGAGAAAATCCCGGAAACAGAACTGGCAGCGTGTCATTTTGGACAAAACAAGAGGAGGCGGCAGCTGAGGATGACTGAGCCGGATGAGGAAATGTTATCACAGGGGTCTGATAGGCTGAAATACAATCAAACGTAAGCATTTATAAAAATAGTTGTACCTTTGGTGGGAGAAAGGCTTCGTCATCCTCTTCAGATGATGTGAGGCTGTGTTTCAACCTGACAAATGGAAAGAAGATATTAAACCTTTTTAAACACTCAGAAAAGAGAACAGCCTGTAAGAGAAGAGAAAAACCATTTTGATCATGTGGGAAAAGTTTTATTCTAACCTCATTTGATCAGCTTTTCAAGCAGATTTATGTTATTGGAACATTTTCCTAAGCATCAAGACATTGTTCTAATAAAATAAATATGTTTGCCAATCTAACCCTTACACCCACAGAACAATACGGCTTTTGCACTGTCCAGATGTTTCAGACAATGGTTTACTGCTTCAACTAAACATTATTTTACAAATGGATTAATCTGTTGATTATTTTTTCCATTGATCAATTAATAACCAGAAAGCAGAAGATTCTTTAAAGTAGACTTAAAAGAATTAAACCAGGTGAACCTAAAAATTTTCCTCTTGAGGAGTTATGAAAAGGGCACATTGACAGCTGAAAATCTTTTTTTTTTTTTTTTATTTAATTGCATGTTATATATAAATGTTTTTAACAATTCTTGATATAGTTACTCCTCTAAGTGGGTCACTCAGTGAACTAAAGGCACATTTCACAGTCCCTGTCCTCCAGTTAACAGTTAATTGATTTCTAAATTAGCTGACCATTTTTTCAATAATCAATTAATCACAATATGATTAATTTTTTCAGGCCTACAATGGTTTAACTTTTATTTCTGAATATATGGAAAATGTGTCTTAAAAGAAGTTATGACCCACTTACAAGTCCAGAGGTTGTGAAAGAATGTCAGTAAACCATGGAACTAAACTACCTCTAAAACAGTCCTGTTTCTCTTTTAGTTCTGTTTGACTTCAGCTCTGCTTTCTAAACTATTGCCCCCAACAGTCTGCCAGGTATAGTATTGCAGAATCCCCTCATAATCAAAGATGCTATACAAATAAAACAGAGTTAAGATACCTTTGCCTGTAATCATGGGAATCATCCTCATCACTCCTCCATTGCAGTTCACTTTTCCTGCGGACCGTTTCTGGAGTGAAAGGATTAACATTGACTGAAGGAGCGTGGATAAGTTTTGCAGAATCGGAGGTGAAACGTAGGCACCTCTGATGGCGACCTATCTTTATGCTAGAGAAAGGCTGGGATGCCTTTGACAGTAAACTCTGCAAGAAAAAGAAAAAAAAAATAATCAAAGTGATCAGAAGGAGTCATAAAAGGATGTTCCCTCCAGGATGTTTTTCTTTAACCTTGGGTGTGCTGGGAGTGTCACACAGCCTGAGCTTACTCCAAGAAGCAAAAGGTATGGGGCTTTTGCTCTGGAAAGGCGAAAAGGATGAGGTGCTTCTGCTGCGATGCCGCTGAACTCGAGGGGTCCTGCAGAGCAGGGTGGGACTGTGGAGGGCTGTGGAGTCATCTGAGGTGGTGTCACTGCTGTTTCCCTCCTCACCGCAGCTGGAAAAATCTTGGCTGATTTCATTAAACAGTGTCGCCATGCCTTTAACCTGAGGCTCTAGGAAGGTTCTCTTCATGCTGGATTAAGGATCTTGGAACAAATACATATTTTATTGGCAAAATTTTACAATCATGATACTGCTCCAATTAAAAATGTAAACATAACTTAAATACAGGCCTATTCCAAGCTCCTTCAACCCTCCATCATGGTTTCAATCACTGATTAATACATAAGCTGAAGTTTAAAAACATGACCAACTAGAATATGACATTTCTGACAAACATATAGTTACACTAAGCTATAATAAAACATTTGTAGTGACTAGAAAGCCATATGCACTTACAAACACCACCACCTGTGCACTACCACCTCAAACACGCTCTGATTTCGCGCCACGTATGTAAAATACTTCCTGTTTAATTAAATTAACGCACAAGGGGGAGGAGGGGGGTCAAGGCATTTAGCGCTCTGATTGGTTGTTGCTTTAACTTAATTTTTTACGGCTTTCCATGAAATAAAAAATATATTTTTTATTATTTTTTTTCCTAAATGAGGGATAGATACTGTTAGATTTTATATATGTAATAATTTTTAACAAAATTTTCTCTTTTTTCAATGATTATCTTATTTTCTTTGTCACTCACTCATTCACTTTTGATAAATAAATATTCATACCCTTGGCTTAGTTGGATTCATAATAATTTTTATCAACCCAGAGAGTTTAAAAAAAAATATTATTAATATTTCTTTTTAAATGAGGCAGTCAAATCGGAAAAAAAACAATGTGGAAGGAGGATGAATTCAGTAGAAAAAAACATATATATAATAAATTAATTAACAATAAGATTTCCCAACTTATTTATACCGTTTTCAATAATTTATTAAATAATGTATTAATTTATGACACAGAAACTTTAACAAATTGCGTTTTCATGGGTTTATTCTGCTAAATAAACAAAAATGAGGTCATGCTATGAAATACTAATGTAGTCACGTGGGCGGAAGTCAGCTACGTCATCACAACAGTAAAAGCTGTCTCTCCGTGGATGTGACACGCTTACAGATCCACCAAAAACAAGCCGGAGCCAGGCAGCTGCAGGACACCATGATCCGGATCCAGCAGAGTGTCTGAACCCGCTCCAAGCAGCCGCACCGCCGGACCTTCCTGTCGCCTCTGCTCACCGTCTTCACCATGGTGGAGCAATCGGACCGAGCCCCGCTGCTGGACTGGGAGGAGATCCCACCGCCCGACGCCAATCAAGCGGCCCAGCCACCGCCTGAGCCGCAGCGGGAGAACGGCACCGACGATGCGGGGAAAAGTTCGCAGCCGAGCGGCAGGCGAACACCGACGATCACCGCGTCCGGTACGGGGCGGAGCGGCGGCGTCCCTACCGCCGTCACCTACAGCCCCACACGAAACATAACAGCTGTTGTTGTGAGCCGGGAGAAGCGCTCCGGGTGCGGCTTCGATCGCCCAGAGCTCCTCGGTCCGGGTGGTGGTTTCCCGTTCCCCGGTCTGTCAGGGAGGGATCAGTGGGAGGAAAAGGACCAGATCCTGGCTGTGTTTGTGGTGACTTTTGGCACGAGATCAGGTGAGTCAGTAAAATAACAATGATCAGATGATGCTGCTGAGGTTATTCTACATGGGATGGGCTGATCATTTATATCTCACTCATATGGTCTCTGCGTAGTAATCTAACATCTGCAGGAATTTACTTGCATTTAAAAAAGGAGCAGATAATATTTTGTATTTGCAATATCAGACAGATGACAGTTGAAGCCATTAGATTAGGGGTCAACGACCTTTACAACATCAGCGGGACTTTATTCTTTATTCCAACATCAGTCCATCTGTTTTAGAGCCACAAAAGCAACACAACTCTTCTCCATTCATTTACTTTTATAAAACATACTAGAGGATGTTGGTGTATATTGTTAAATGAAAGAACAACTTTATTTAATTACATTTTTCTCCTTTGGGGAAATTCAAAGAAATGAAAGAGCATGAGTCCTCAATTTACTCAACTTTTTTTTTTTTGATTAATCTACCTGGATTATTTAGACAGATAAGGACAAAAAAGTATTGATTGCAGCAAAAATGTTACTTGATTAATAAGGACATGCAACAACGTGGTTATTGAATTATTTTTGTAAATGTTACGCATAGATTAAAAGGCAAAGGGAAAACTGCTCAAGCAAGCATTTTCTGACTTATTTTAATATTTCAAAGACTTGCTTTTAAGCCAAAGTTAATAGGAGCCTCAGTGGAGGGGGCTCTTGAGAGATGGGGCCACAGGTTAAGTTTAATTTAATTTTATTTACCCGCCTGGCAGATCACTTTCCAACTTCATCCAAAGACATTACATCCTTTTTATCGGTTGGTCAGTAGTGGCAATTGTAATAGCAAATCTTGGTATTAACAAATGAAAAACAGTTTTTGTGTTTGCTTATTAATGGCTGTTAGAAACATGTAAAAGTAACAAAATCACCAAAAACTGAAGGAATTTATAAGGAATACTATTTAATTGGAATGTTGCAAATCGATACATTAGGTCACACATGCAGATTATGCCAGTCTTTTGATCACATAGCAGCAATGGATGTCTTCAGAAACAAATCATGTTGTATACATAGAGTGTATACAAAACAAAATTTCGATGCACACAGCTTTCAACAGTGAATGAGCAGCTTAGCACTGAACCTTTCCATTTACAAAGTGCAGCAGTGAACAAAACCTAAACAGTGTAGGAAAGACATGGTGCTAAATGCAATGATGTGGAAGGTTCAGAGAATGTAAAAATAAATAAATGCATATGGTGCAAAATTCAGTAGAAACACTGAGTTAATTCTATTTAAAGGGATTAAACACATGAAGCTGAAATCAACTCAATGTCTCAAAATCAATGAAAAGTTAATTTGTTGGCTTTAGCTTTTGCTAAAATCAGCTGATCTGCTTGATGAATGTCTTTTGTAATGTCGTCTTCTAACTTACATGCAAAGATTATTCAGAAGCCTTTTCATGTTAAGTAAAATCTAACAGAGATATAAAGTTTTAAAGGAAACAGGCAATAAAATCATTAACCTGAGACCTTCCTGTGCTTCTGGTAGATGTTTAGTCAAAAAGAGAGACAGCTTTTCGTTGCACTTCCTGAACTCTGGAATCTATATGAGGAACGTCTAGAATCAGAGGAAGTGTCTGAAAAGAAAGTGGAGGGAGAAAGGGAAGTGGCTTCATTTTCTGCTTGTGTGACTTGCAGGGAATATGGTGGAATGGTGCCTGCCGCATGACATTAACCTGGACGGAGTGGAGTTTAAGTCAATGGCCAGCGGCTCCCATCGGATCACCAGCGACTTCATGTAGGTCCTTTTCCGGCCGGTCTGCTCCTGCTGAATCTGTCAGCACACTGCCTCTGTTCTGATCCCTTCCCTTCGTTTCGATTTGCTTAGATATTTTCGTAAAGGAAGTTACTTTGGGCTGGCGTGCTTTGCAAACATGCCTGTGGAGAGTCAGCTGGAGCGCGGTGCGAGGATGAAGTCTGTGGGAATCCTGTCTCCTTCCTACACCCTGCTGTACCGCTACATGCACTTCCTGGAGAACCAAGTCAGGTGAGGCTCTCTGTCAGTGTGTGTGTTTGTGGACACTCTAGCCTTTTTTATCCCTGATTTATTCTTTTATTTGTGCCTCTTTGTATAAAATGTTCTCATCAATTAAACATGAAGCTAGAGGCTCAGTTAGTATCTAATTTGGTCACACAAACCATTTGAAGTGCAGTTTTTCTTCAGGGGTCTAAACACAAAGCTTGAAGAAACCTTGACAGCATCTTTTCTCTCCCTTTCTATACCTCTGCTCTTCTTCTTCAGTCCTTCCACAATAAACTTGACTCTCACTATGTAGAAATGCGAAAAGGGATTCAACTATCTGACTCTCAAAACCAGCCCCATCAAGCAGACACTTGAATAGTGCAGCAAGTTTGTAAGACAATTGTTAAAAGCGTATTTTATTTTTAGAAAAACAGGCCTTGGATTCCACTATTATTGACAGCTTAGAGTGAAATGCATTCAGTTATCAATGCGTTTTACTCCAGAAAAACGATAACAGGCCTTTAAAGCAAGATAAAAAGAAACTGGCACAAAAAACAAATAGAGATGCAAAATAAGATGCAAATACAGAGGAAAAATTAGATAAATTGACAAAGAAGCAAAAGTGGCACAAAAAAAAAGAAACTCCTAAACATGGATACAGGGGCTTCCAAAAGTATTTATATGCAGCTTTTCATATTTTTTTTTACATGCAGTTGGGTAGAAACACAAACTTCATTGGATTTTTATCTTGATTTTGTGGTATTTATTTGTATTTAACAACCCTAAATCATTATTTTGTGAGATTGGCCTGGAGTTCCAGCTGTGAGTTAATGAGTCAAATTGGATGCAGAGAGTTTGGGAACAGGAGTTTTAAAGCATCGCTACAGATTCTCAATCAGGTAAACTTTGGACCAAATCTGAGGATTCTCTATCCTGAACTCCATTTTTTACATTTTTTTTGGGCATCAGAGTAAAGGAGAATTATTCTTATTTACACAACGCTTTTCTGTTAGGTTTTTCTTTTGACTTGGGAAAAGTTTTGAAATCCATGTTTTAATCTTGTTTCAATTTGAGCATTTATACTATACTTTGTGTTGGCTCTTAAAGAAAAAAAAAATAAAGAAAAAAGCACACCAAAAAAACATAAATACACAAAAAATCGTGGATCTCTGAAAAGATGGTGTGAAATTATACCTTTTTAATACATTTTGTTAAAGGATCAAAGTGAAGCTGGATTTTAAATGGATGCAAAAGAGCTTAGAAATGGACAATTATAAACATAAGACAGAACAGATGAAAGCCGATGCAAACAGAAAATCAGCTCAGAAGGTCTGAATGTTCCTTCCTTTCCCCAAACAGCAGTCCCAGATTAATAATGTGTAGAACTAAACCTGAGTGCTACACACCATCTGGGATGGGAAGTAAGAGGGGAAACAGGGGACTGTAACCCTAACAACAACACAAAATAGCTGTGATGCATCTTTTATGTGAAGACTTTAACAAAAAACTCAGACAACTAAACTGAGAATGAATGTGTGGTGCAAAAACACTTCAGCTTCAATCAGCAAAAATAAAAATGCAACCAACACGTGAAAAAAACAACTTTACATTGTGCAAATACAACAGTTATTTAATTAATAATAACTAAACTTTATTGATCTCACACTGGAGAAATGTATGTCTGCATTTAACTAATCGCCTTGTAGAGCAGTGGGCTGCCATTGTGCAGTGCCTGGGAAGCAGTGTGGGGTTAAGGGTCTTGCTCAGAGACCCAGAAGTGCACGCTGTGGGGATTGAACCGTGTACTTGCA